CATGTCAGTCCTGCTGCTGCAGACGTAGTTTTGTTTTAATACTGTTCCTGTAACATGCTAAGCTCCAAATCCCTTGGTTTGTTTGGATATACTTGGATGCCCTGAGGGCACTTTATGGCATGGTACTCAGAGTTCATCTCATGGGACTGTTTTGTGGGACCAGTTCCCACCATATTCCAAGCCTGCATGGCTACAGAGGACTCAAGGCTACATCTGGACCATTTTTTGGTTGCACAGGGGAAGGCAGCTGTCAGACTGAAGTCAGGAAGCTGTGGCCCTGGCTTGAAAGTTCTTCATCCAAATTCTTGCTTTACTCAGTGAAATCATTCCATCCTCTACCCTCCCCAAATGAGATGGATGGTCTTACATATATGTGGATGGAGCTCCACCCACGCACTCATAGCCGCTCTCAGCGAAATGAATTTCAAACATTAGCAAACAGGTAAGAGTATATTTGTGTGTGTTTGGGAGAGGTAAACTAAAATATATTGTACCCTCAGCTGATTCTGAGCTTCGCTTTTGGTCATGTGGGAAGCAGGGGAAGGGGAATTGCTTGAAGATAATGGGGTCTACTTCTCTTTCTCCGGAACAAGACACATCTCCAGTATATACCCTGAGATCTATTGGTCCTTAGCACAATTCAGCATGACTAAGAGGTCTGAAGTACTGTCACGGAACAAAGAACACCAGGACTCTGAAGACTCAATCTTAACTATGTCACTTTTTAGCTATGTGAGCCTGGGTGTGTTACTTGAACACTACCGGAAACTGGGGTTAATGATTCTTACCTAAGGATCTTTGTGATCATTAAAGGAGGTCACTTGTGTGAAAGCCTTGGCATGATGGTGCCTGCCAATTTTGAAATATCAATATGTGTTCATTTTTTTTCCTTTCTTTCAGCTCCTTTTTTTTTGTTTTTTTTTTGAGGTGGATTCTCACTCTATTGCCCAGGCTGGAGTACAGTGGTGCAATCTCCGCTCACTGCAACCTCCATCTTCCGGGTTCAAGTGATTCTCCTGCCTCAGCCTCCTGAGTAGCTGGGATTACACACTCAGCTCCTTTCTGTATTTTTAATAGAGATGGGGTTTCACCATGTTGGCCAGGCTGGTCTCGAACTCCTGACCTCAAGTGATCCACCTGCCTCAGCCTCCCAAAGTGCTGTGATTACAGGTGCGAGCCACCATGCCTGGCTCAGCTGCTATCGTAAGACTTGGTCTCTTTTAATCATAATTTTACACAACTGATGATTCTTCTGTCTGTCTTCTATACTTTAATGCATTTACAGCCCTTCCCCTAAAACTCATGAAGTACCTAGGGTTCATTTTCAGCACCCTATCTTGGCTTTGGTTTCTCACTTCCTAGCTCCTGGAGTACGATGCTAGTGACGGTCACATCTCATGGGCAAGAGTCTTGCCTGCCCTAAGTTCTGCACCCCAGACAGGCTGGATAGCAGTGAAAGGATCGGCAGAGGGTCAGACTAGAGAGGACCGGAGGTTCAGGTGCTAATGATGTGGGTCCTATGTATGTGTATGTGTTTAGGGAGAAACTATAATTATTAGTAATAATATACAACAATTTAATAAAGTATTTCCCCATTTAAACCACACAGCAGCTCTGCAAGGTAGGTATTATTATCTCTTCTCTGCAAGTAAGAATGCTGAGGCTCAGGGAAGTTAAATAACCCAAGTTACACAGCTGTGTGGCTGTGGTGGAGAGAATGCTACTCACCACATGATTTTCTCTTCCTGGACACTAGGGAAGATATTTCCTAGCCTCTCTTGTAATTTGGTTGGGCCTTGTGACTGGATGTTAGCCAAAGGAATTAGGGCACAGATGTCTTGTAAGCCATTTCTGGGAGTGGCCCCCAAAAGGGTCCCTTTAGGTCTTGCTTTTCCTATGAAGGTGGTCTTGGAAAACATGCAGTCCGTGGTGGAGCCATGGGATAAAGAGGGCCACCCAGCCCTTACGACATAAGCAATCATGACACATTGGATATTTGGGGGTGAGCTGAGTGACAGAACTGGACTTTAGAGTCAAGTTGTCTGGACATCAACGTTTCAACACACTGGGGCACATGGATTTTTCTTTCTTTCTTTCTTTCTTTCTTTCTTTTTTTCTTTTTCAGTTGAGGCCTTACTCTGCCACCCAGGCTGTAATGCAAGGGTGCGCACATGGCTCACTGCAATCTTGAACTCCTGGGCTCAAGTGATCCTCCTGCCTCAGCCTCCAGACTAGCTAGGACTACAGACTCATGCCACCCCCAACCCCCAGCTAATTTTTTACTTTTTTGTAGAGATGAGGTCTTGCTATGTGCTCAAGGCTAGTTTCAAACTCCTGGGCTCAAGTAATCCTCCTGCTTCGGCCTCCCCAAATTATAGGCATGAGCCATCATGCTCAGCCTACAGTTTCTTGATATTGACATTGATGATTGACATTAGAGAGTAAATAAAATACAAAGAAAGAGAGAAAAGAAAAGTTAAAAATGCGTCTCGGTTACAAAGAAATAATACTAATTGCAATTGTTCAGGTAAATTAACACATAATTACCACTCAAAAAATAATGAATAACTATAGATAAGTTTTGTTTCATTTTGGAATTCTCTGTTAAAATGAAACAAAACTTATAAGTTAAAAGCCAACAAAGCACCAACTTTGATGCTTAGAGATCCATGCTTGATGGCCGTAGTTATTCCAGCACAGTAATCGTGTTTAGAACCTTAAAAGATTAGAACAATATGGGTTACCAGTGAATAAATGCTAGAAGGAGGTCCTTCTGAAAATCCTAGGCATAGGATTCTGGGAGTATAGGCTGACTTATACTAACTGGGTTTTAAGCCATACAAGATAATATTATACAGACACTGCAGAGGTTGTTAGAAGCAATCTCAGACTTACCTGATACTTTGTTTTCAGTCATATGTTTACCGCTAGGTAGATCAGTTTCAGCAGCTGTGCTGCATTATCACAGCTATCTCGAAGGCATGTTTACAGGTTATGTGTTTTATACAGTACAAGCCTCTCACAGTCAGAATCATAATAATCTCCTGCCTAGTGACTCACGCCTGTAATTCCAGCACTTTGAGAGGCTGAGGCGTGCAGATCACTTGAGGTCAGGTGTTCGAGACCAGCCTGGTGAACATGGTGAAACCTCATTTCTGCTAAAAATACAATAATTAGCCAGGCATGGTGACTCATGCCTGTAATCCCAGCTACTCAGAAGGCTGAGGCAGGAGAATCACTTGAACCCAGGAGGTGGGGGTTGCAGTGAGCGGAGATTGTGCCGCTGCACTCCAGCCTGGGTGACACAGACTGTCTTAAAAGGAAAAGAAAATGTATTGTAATATTCCATTTTAGGATAAAAAAAACTCAGACCTTTTAAAGGAACTTAAACACAAGAAAGGTATATTTCCTCTAACAGCAGAAAACTTACATAACATCTTTTACGTGTAATTGCTTTCAGTATATTAGCCTATTCAATTCTCACAACTGCGTGAGAACAGGGAGGCCACAGAGAGGTGATCTGTCCAAAGTTACACAGCTTGGAAGGGGAAAAGCCAGGATGTGAATGCAGCCAATTTGGCTGGAGAGCCCACCCCCTTAACCACCATGCAGGCTGCTGCCTCTCGACACCACATCCACAGCACTTCCTATGGGCCAGGAACTGTTGGAGCATGCTCACTACATACTCTGCTTTTTGTCTGCAAACAACTTATCTGACAAGTCAATATGGGCTTTCACAAAACCTTCATTTCGAGCATGCTTCACATTTAAACCTGTAGGGCCAATGCCATGCTGCCAGAACAATTAGAGGAAATTTGATTAGCTACTCCATAGGCCGACTGTTCCAACAAGAAGATTTTGCAAATAAATTAACTTTTAGTGTTGGCAAACATCAGTGATGACTAACAAGACAGGAAAATGCCAGAGTTTACAAACATCACAACGTATAACATTAATTGGTATTCTTTACTAAAAGTCTTCTGTGTGGGACAGGTGTTACAGGCCATAAGGTTCTACATCATTATTTTATTTATATCTCAAAACAACTCGATGAGGTATATGTTAATTATTTAACTGAATCTCAAATGTCATAGGTTGTAATTACACAATTATGTACCAGTAAGAAAACAAAAAGTGTTGGCAATTGAGTGAAGACACACCATCGGTTCTAACACGCATTCTAATGTCAGAGATGCTAAAATGTGAAAAAAATGTATCCTACTCTGATGAAATATGGCCTCATTCCCATCATATAGATGAAGAAATAGACTTTATGAAGTTAAATTGCCCAAGATCACACGGTTAGCAAGTGCTGCAGCCTGAGCTCACATCCAGGTGGATCTGACTGGAAGCCCATGCTCTTAACAATTTGATAGAGTGTCTCAGTCTGCGTTTGTGGCGCATAAAGTGACATTAAATACTGCTTTGTTGCTGTTCAATGGATCATCAGTACATTGTAGGCTGGCAACTGAAATCCTGAGATGACTTTTCAGGGTTTGATTATCCATTAAGATAGTTTAAACTGACCAAACAGGCCTAGAAAAGGAAACCAGTCTGCTCCATTTCAGCTATGTAGGCAGCTTCAACATTACAGCTTTCAAGAAATAGTTTGTGTCTCATTGTCCTGAAATCATTCCTCACTCTAGCTTATAATAAAAAGAAACTTTTTTTTTTATATAAAATAAGACCTTTGTTTCTGAAGACATTGCTTGGCCTGCTCTTCAGCTCACAAATAAAATACAATGTCTTTTTCTTTTAACAACTCAAGATGTTTCCTAACTATGGCAGGGTTTGGGATTTGAGAGCAAGCAAAGAAGACCACAGGAAGCTTAAAGAAGCAGACAGCAATTTCATAAAAACGCTTTTCGCCATAAAGACCCACAAGACAGGAAAACAGAAAACGCTTCGCCATAAAGACCCACAAGACAGGAAAACAGAAAGTGCGTACATACTTCACTCACAATTCCAGGTTTTTTCCTAAGAGGCAGCAGCAGTTTAAACATTGCCTTCCTCTTGTGTAGAATCACACATGTACACTATACAACTTCGCTTTCTGTTCTAAAAGCATTGTGAGCTATTGTTTTTTGATGGTCTCTTGAGGCTAAGGAAAAATGTTATTGGTAGTCTGAAAGAATAGGTTTTAATATAGGCATTTAATTTTCTTTCCATATACTCCCTGATTAAAACAAGCTTTGCCCCATTTTCTACTTTTCTTTGAAAACCCTCTTTACCCACATCAACAAAACAGCACACTGACTGTAGCTGTGACTTTGGCCCTGTTGCCCGGGCTTCAGATGCAGCTGGATTCATCTCTTACACTGTGGCCAAGCACTGAGTCAACTTTGATGACACTGGCATCATTTAACTTCTAGTTTTAAAATTGTTTAGTTTTGTTCTCCAAAAAGTTAAACTAAATGATGGTATGATATCATTTATTAAATATAATTCTTTTTGAGATTAGTTGAGAAGAAGTTTAAAAAAAAACATACTGCTCCTGCCGGGCGCGGTGGCTCATGTCTAATCCCAGAACTTTGGGAGGCCAAGGCGGGTGGATCACGAGGTCAGGAGTTCAAGAGCAGCCTGGTCAACATGGTGAAACCCCATCTCTACTAAAAATACAAAAATTAGCTGGGCGTGGTGGTGGGTGCCTGTAATCCCAGCTACTCTGGAGGCTGAGGCAGGAGAATTGTTTGACCATGGGAGGCGGACGTTGCAGTGAGCTGAGATTGGGCCATTGCACTCCAGCCTGGGTCACAGCGCGAGATTACGTCTCAAACAAACAAACAAACAAAATGTACTGCTCCTTACCAATTACTGAAATTAGCAGAATATTTAAATTCTCTAGGATAAATATATATAAATTCAACTTACAAAAGTGGGGCTATTTGGGGCATTTAGAGTTATCCCCCTCATCCATGATAATATTATACTATGATTAGTATTTCTGGGCTATAGAACTAATATGCTACTTATTTCTATAAATACTTTTTTTATTTCATGTATTTTTCCTCTAATTATTTTTAAAAGTAAAAAAGTAACAAAAAAAACCCCCAAATTCAACTTAGATATTACCATAGTTCAGAGAGGTCAAGAAAACCACTAGAGAGTGCCAGTTTAGATTCACCCAGGTTTAACTGCAAACCACTTGCTTTAAAAAAAAAAGCACACTGCTTTTTCATGATCACATTTAAGTTATACCTATTGGAGCTAGATCAACAAACGTGCTTTGATTTCGAGAGACAGAATATGGAATATTCTGATAAGACTTAATACTGACATAAACATAACCAGAAAAGAAAATGTTAAAGTACACAAATTGGAAGTCTGGGCTTGGATCCAGTGTTCACACAACTAGAATGAATGTTTGAGTTGTGTTGGGATTAAACAGTCAGTTCTGATTCATTCAGTTCCACTGACATGAGCCCTTTCTGTGAGCTGGATACTGTGTAAGGTGTTTTTAATACAAAATTTCTTCCTAGCAACTGCCAGTTAGGTATTATTGCACCTACTTTTTGCTGAGATGGGTTAGGACACCTGTCTTAGGCAAATGGTGGAGCTGAGCTGAGGTCCATGCTCAGGCCTGCGGAGCTCAGGGCTGAGTTCTTACCACTGTGCTATCTGAACAGTACCTGGATCCACATCCTCCTGGAACTTAGACACCGTTACAGAAATACTAGAATATGAGAAAAAATGTAAGGAAACTAAACACACTGTTAGAAAAATTCAAACAATAGGTGGGGTGCGGTGGCTCGCGCCTGTAATCCCAGCACCTTTGGAGGCCGAGGTGGGTGGATCATGAGGTCAGGAGTTCAAGACCAGTGTGGCCAACATGGTGAAACCCCATCTCTGCTAAAATACAAACATTAGTTGGGCGTGGTGGCCGGCACCTGTAATCCGAGCTACTTGGGAGGCTGAGGCAGAAGAGTCGCATGAACCCCAGGGGTGGAGGTTGCAGTGAGCCGAGATTGCACCACTGCACTTCAGACCGGGTGACAGAGTGAGACTCTGTCTCAAAAAAAAATAAATAAATAAATTCAAATAACTGAGAGACCTAACTAGATATGTGTGGGAGTTTTGGGGCACAATGGAGGGTGGAGAGCAGGAGAATGCTTCCAGCCAGAGCCTGGATGAAAGAAGGGACTTCATGGAAGGGTGGGATTTTTATGGATATGATGAAAGGCTGGGTAGGACAAAGGTGAATCAGGAAAGACGAAACAGGCATCTGTGTGTTAGTAACACATGAGTATCAGTAGGAAGTAGAAGGAGATCAAGCTGGAAATATGACTTGTGACTATTACATCAGACATTTGAGGCTCAAGGGGAGGCGTGTGGATGTCATTCACCAGGCCATGGGGCTCACTGGAAAGTTCTGGGTGAAAGCAGCTTTAGAAAGATTAATCTGGTTGGTGCGTAGTGGAAGCAGGCCCGGTCACTAAAAGTCAATTCCCTGCAAGCAGTTTGGCTTTCAGTGAGCAAGATATGTATTATTATTCTCATTTTAAGGATGAAGAAGCAGGTTCAGAGGGGTGAAGGAGCTTGCCCAAGGTCATGGTTAGTAAACAGAAGAGGTAGGATGTGAATCAAGCATCTCTGTGCATTCGACCTAACTACTCCAAGTAATGTCTAGGGACTGGCAGCTGTGGATCCCCTGGGAGCTCACCAGGAATACAGACCTACTAAATCAAAATCTGCATTTTCACAGGATCCTACATGCACATTAAAGTTTGAGAAGCATTAGACGAGGCTATACTTTCTTTTTATAATGATCTATAGAATTACTGGAAAAATATTCACCTGGCTACAAACCTAGCTTTTGGGGGGCACATTGGGTAGTTTCCTCACACAAAAGAAGAGACTTAACTAAGAAAAGGAACTCTTCTGTATTTCATTCTCATAAGGAGGCAAACAAGTTAAAAATTTAAAAGCTGAAATTGTAACCTAGCTGTGTGACCTTGGGCAAGTCACTTAACGTCTCTGAATTTTAGTTTCCTCATCTGCATAGTACTTGACCTGTAAGAATCAAGTGAGACAGTACCTGTGAAAAAAGCGTCTACACAGGGAACTCATTATAAACATGGAAAACACTGCTATAAGGAGACATGGCTATAAAATATGTTATTTCACAAAACAAATAGGAAGAAAGAAGAAAGAAAGAAAAAGAAAGTGAAAAGGCAGGCAGGGATAATGTACCAAAGTTAGCTGAAGGAAAACTAGCCTCATTGAAGCAGGAGCATAAAGAGCTAATGCGTAAAAGCCCTAGGAATAAAGGAGTCCAGGAAAGCTAATTTCTGATTCTCACAGGTGTTTCTGAAAATACAGAGATCGTACCACACATGCAAGTGGGAAGAGTAACAAGGGCCTGTGTGGTCTTGGCCCAAAGTCACAGACCTGAGGTCGGTAAAGCCATAAAAAATTAAAAATATAGTTACATGGTAATTAAAGGAATGAAAAACAGCTCATATGAGGAAAAATTAGTACAGATTTTAAATCTTGGAGCAAAGAAACCTACATAATGAATTAATAATGGAACATCTGTTACCAATGTATTGCAGTTACCACAGAAAATTGAGATACATTAACTGATTTCAAGCAAGAGGTTCCTTCGTTAGCCAGAGTATTGAGGGAAGGTAGACACTGAAGTAAGAGCAATTACGACTCCTCATCCCCAGTTCTTCGACATACACAGATTGAGGGCTTCCTATTAGCAGGCATTGCGCTAAAATTCTGGGACTACAAAGTACATAAAACACAGTTACTGCCTTCAATTTGCCAATAATTCAGCACAGAAACAGTTATAATGCAGAGGAGAAAGTGAAAAGTTCCATAAAATAGTTATAAATAAGAGAGTATGGGAATTCTGGGGCAAAAAAGTGTTTACATCACTGTAAGGGGTATTAGGAACTGCTTCCTGCATTAGGTAGACAACTAGTTTTCCTTTAGTTTTCCAAGAATCAAGGACATTATCAAATATTGATATTATTATCAAATAATCTGGCAAGAGTTTTCTTGCTCAATGATGCTGTGATTGTCATGATTATGATATAAAATAACTGATTAAATTTTCATACACTTAGGACTGAGGAAAAAACTAAAAGTTAGGTAGCAGTAACTGTGACGTTACTTTGGCATCTCTGTACTATGGTAACCCAAATCCATATCATATTTCAAAAGATGTAAAAAAAAATCAGATTGGTTTTAATTCAAACAACCAATTAATTTATTGAAACACTGGCATCAAGTGACTCTTCATTGATTTGTGGCCTCATACTGACATCGACATATGAAGACAGTATCGATGTCCAGAAAGCTGGTTCATCATCCCTCCCCTTTCCCCCAACCCCTGTGAGATTAGCAAAATATCTGTGAGGCAGGGAAGGGGAGTAATGTTTGTAGGATGTATTGTGCGGGTAGTTTGTGTGCATAAGACAGTTAAAATTTTTTATATTGTTCACCAGGAAAAATATGAAAAAAGCTTCCTTTTCACACATGGTAAATCTTTGATATATTCAATAAAAATCAAGTAAAACATATGTCAAGTGATTACAGTTGTGAGATGTGCTAATCAATTGTCCCACTTCCAGAACTAAAATTTTAATAGTTTGGATAAGAGGAGAATAATGAAAATCAGAAAATATGTCAAATTTCTTTTATTTCTGTAATTGCTCTGAGGCTAAGCAGTACTCCCTAGGAAGATTTTAGGAGGATGTAGTAACATTAGACATACTAGAGATATCCAGATGGCAGAAAAAAAAATCTAAAATTTGTTAATGGAAGGGATAGAATAGAGTGTTAACCAATAATTTTTTAAAAAGAAATTTCATGCATGTGATATATAAACTGAATTTTTTGAAGGGGTGTCAATAAATGCATAAGCTCTGGGTTTGCTAAACTTCTGAAGGACCTGAGCCTGTAATTGGCCTTTCTCATTTCTGTCTTGTTAACAAGTATATAAATAAGAGAAGCCTTCAGTAATTGGCTCAGCGTTACTAATGAATTAATTAACTTCAGTCTATTTTACCCAACCTTTAATAATAAGAGTCTTTTTTTTGGGGGGGGGTGGAGTCTAGCAATAGGTCTGACAGACAGAAAAAACAGACATGCAGCAAAGCTCTTGAAAATTAATGA